GACCCGTTGACTAAGCCTCTTCCACGAGCAAAACATGATCAGCACCAAAGCTCCATGGGTGTTAGAATCATTATTGTGTAATCTAGATTATTGACTCTAGTGCAAGTGGGAGACTGAAGGAAATATGCCCTAGAGGCAATAATAAAGTTATTATTTATTTCCTTATATCATGATAAATGTTTATTATTCATGCTAGAATTGTATTATCCGGAAACGTAATACTTGTGTGAATACATAGACAAACTAAACGTCACTAGTGTGCCTCTACTTGACTAGCTCGTTAATCGAAGATGGTTATGTTTCCTAACCATAGACATGTGTTGTCATTTGATTAACGGGATCACATCATTAGGAGAATGATGTGATTGACATGACCCATTCCATTAGCTTAGCACCCGATCGTTTAGTATGTTGCTATTGCTTTCTTCATGACTTATACATGTTCCTATGACTATGAGATTATGCAACTCCCGTTTGCCGGAGGAACACTTTGTGTGCTACCAAACGTCACAACGTAACTGGGTGATTATAAAGGAGCTCTACAGGTGTCTCCAAAGGTACATGTTGGGTTGGCGTATTTCGAGATTAGGATTTGTCACTCCAATTGTCGGAGAGGTATCTCTGGGCCCTCTCGGTAATGCACATCACATAAGCCTTGCAAGCATTGCAACTAATGAGTTAGTTGCGAGATGATGTATTACGAAACGAGTAAAGAGACTTGCCGGTAACGATATTGAACTAGGTATTGAGATACCGACGATCGAATCTCGGGCAAGTAACATACCTATGACAAAGGGAACAAAGTATGTTGTTGTGCGGTCTGACCGATAAAAGATCTTTGTAGAATATGTGGGAGCCAATATGAGCATCCAGGTTCCGCTATTGGTTATTGACCGGAGACATGTCTCGGTCATGTCTACATTGTTCTGGAACCCGTAGGGTCCGCACGCTTAACGTTACGATGACAGTTTCATTATGAGTTTATATATTTTGATGTACCGAAGTTTGTTCGGAGTCCCAGATGTGATCACGGACATGACGAGGAGTCTCGAAATGATCGAGACATAAAGATTGATATATTAGACGGCTATATTCAGACATCGGAAGTGTTACGGGTGATTTCGGAGAAAACCGGAGTGCCGGAGGGTTACCGGAACCCCCCCGGGAGAAGTAACGGGCTTTATGGGCCCTAGTGGAGAGAGAGAGGGGTGGCCAGGGTGGGCCGCGCGCCCTCTCCCCCTCTGGTCCGAATTGGACTAGGAGAGGGGGGGCGGCGCCCCCCTTTCCTTCTCCCTCTCCCCCTTCCTTTCCCCCTCCTAGTAGGAGTAGGAAAGAGGGGAGTCCTACTCCTACTAGGAGGAGGACTCCTCCTCCTTGGCGCGCCCAAGGGCCGGCCGGCCTCCCCCCTTGCTCCTTTATATACGGGGGCAGGGGGGCACCTCTAGACACACAAGTTGATCTTCAAGATCGTTCTCTTAGCCGTGTGCGGTGCCCCCCTCCACCATAGTCCTCGATAATATTGTAGTGGTGCTTAGGCGAAGCCCTGCAACAGTAGAACATCAAGATCGTCACCACGCCGTCGTGCTGACGAAACTCTTCCCCGACACTTTGCTGGATCGGAGTCTGGGGATCGTCATCGAGCTGAACGTGTGCTAGAACTCGGAGGTGCCGTAGTTTCGGTGCTTGATCGGTCGGGCCGTGAAGACGTACGACTACATCAACCGCGTTGTCATAACGCTTCCGCTGTCGGTCTACGAGGGGACATAGACTACACTCTCCCCTCTCGTTGCTATGCATCACCATGATCTTGCGTGTGCGTATGATTTTTTTTGAAATTACTACGTTACCCAACATTAGCCTCTTAAAATGTGATAGTTGTTTCTATGTTAAGTATGTAGATATGGACCATATGGGTATCAAAATCGTGTTACGAAGATCATCCTTATGTCGAATAGTGTAACCACTATATATATGTTACTCAAATGTTGTTACTCAAGTTCTTAAATTTTCATGGAAAGTATTAGTATCATACACAGTTCATGTAGTTTAAGCGTGTGCCCGATGTCCAGAAGGCATTTGCATATTAACTGTCCACATTGTAAATTCACACACATGTTAACATAAGGAAACATATGTGTAACTTACTAATCATCGTACACGAGTACTCGCAGACGCATCGTGTGCGATACTCCTAGCCACCGCAAGCAAATAGTTTGCATTTTTCAAAGTTTTTTGTACACATAGAATCGCACACGAACTAACTATATTAACCATCGGTGTTGTAATTTCTCATCGCAAACAGTTTAACCGAGTCGACTGTTTGCCACGTATCACACACATCTTGTTTACACGACTCATTTATGTTCTTTTGGCTCATCGCAAACAGTTCATCCATGTGAATCGTATGCCGCATATCACACACATCTTGTTAAGTTAACCAATTTCTGTTGTGTTCCCTAATTGAAAATAGTTCGTCCGAGTGAACTATATGCCGTATATCACACACCTTGATTTGGCTAATCATTTATGTTGCACTCCCTAATAGCAGACAGTTCATCGAAGCGAACTGTATGCCGTATATCGCACACACATTGATATGGCTATCCGTTTTTGTTATTCTGTCTCATCGCAAATAGTTTAAATGGATTAACCGTGTGCCCTGCATCACACACGTAACTAAAATCTGAACCGTGTTTGATGGCTCCGCCATCGCAAACGTTTTGCATATTTTTTGATGGTTTTTACACCATCGTTTGCGATTAATGCATCACATACACTTTTGTCAAAAGGGTCTCTAATCGTAGTGTCGCGTTAGCAGCATTCTGCAATAGTGACCGGTCGTCTCGTCGTACGCTCCAAGTCTTCTGGGTCCACCTGATTGTAGGGCCATGGGCCGGGTTAATCAGCCCATGGCATAACTGACCTAGGGGCCCTCCGGGCCGGACTACTCAGGCCAGCTTCCGGCCAGGCGATACATCCCTGGGTCATAACACCGTCAATATGTGAAGACAAATTCTAATCCCAGAAGCAAGAAACATAAAATTTTCACATAGGCACAAGAAGCAGCAAGGAAGGATACAGAGAGAGCATTTGGAGTGTTGCAAGCCGGGTTGCAATTGTTTGAGATCATGCACATTTAACAACGATGCATTGCAAAGATCATGACATGTTGTGTGATTCTATACAATATGATCATCAAGAATGAGAGAGATACATCAAACCCCATCGAGTATGAAAATATTGGCACAACAGCAAGGCCTCACAAAGACACAAACCACATTCAAGCATTGTTTGAGGTCTATCACAAGATTGAAGTCAAGACGTCACATGATCAAGTGCATGGAGATCTCACTAAGCATCAATGACAACTAGCTGGTGATGATGTGTGTATATTTATTTAATTCATTTATTTTCATTTGAGCAATTATTCCATTAGATTATTTGTTGCATTTTGATTTTTCTTATCCGAATTAATGTTGTAACTGTTGAATTGATGAAATGTTGATTTTTGTGTACTTTGTTTTTTATCTATTATCTCATAGACCCAAAGCATCTAGCTCAATTTCAAATATGAAGTTGCTTACCACACATCCCATCTGGTGATGTCAAGAAAAAAAATATAAATTATAAAGGCTACATATGATGACACGTTTAAAAAAAATCAACGAACGCCGCAAATCAACCAAAGTTCAAGTCCTAGACTTGACATTGATGCTCGCATTTTTTTGGATTTATTTTAGGCCTTCAGGCGATGTGCGTTCAGTGAGAGGAGACGTTCTTGTCGACTCAACTATGATGGCTTCGTTAATCTTAAGATGATGTGTCGGTTGAGTCTCTTGAAGGTGCTCATAGGGGTAGGATGTGCGTGCATGCGATCATAGAAATGAGTGTATGCACATGTGTATGTACGAACGTTTGCGTTTGTACCATGTTAAAATAAATAAATTAATGAACGCCTCCTCTCATCTAAAATGAAAATAAAATCCATAGTGTGTTATGTTAACATAAATTAATGGGCAGCGCTGGGCGCCGGTACGCCGGCCGAAAGTTTCGGCCGGTCTGCCCCCAATCGCCCGATCTGGCTGCGCGAGACCTTCAGATTGTAGCTCCTATTCTATTTTTTCTTACCTTATCCTCGTCTCCAGCACACAGAGAGAGGAGCGAGCCAGTCAAGGCCGCCATGGATGCGCGGCCATGAAGCCCACGCTTGCCGCTTTGGCACCGCCTGTGCTTGTCGCCCCGGCCATGGCGCTGCCCGCGCTCGTTGCAGGTCCCCATCCTCGCCGGCAGTCCTCGTTGCCGGTCCCGCGTTCGTCCTTGCCCTCGTGCTTGCCGGCAACCCGCGCTCGCCGCCGTATCCTTGGCCGCCCATGCTCGTTCTTAACCTCGTGCTCGGTGTCGCATCCTTGGCTGCCCGCGCTTATCGGCCATGGCAACTCTGGTGCCGGTCGTAGCAAAAACGAACAATGGTTGTAGCAATTCTTCGTCGTTGCCGCCGTCGCTGCTCGCGACTCCGCCATGGATGGATGTAGCAAAATCCTATGCCAGTAGTAGCAAAATCCGAGGACGGTTGCAACAAAAAAAGGCACCACCATAATACGTCGCAGCTCCGCCTTGATAAGATGTAGCAAATTCCGTCGCCGGTAGTAGCAAAATTTGGCGACGGTTGTAGCAAAAACTCGGTTGTTTCCAGCAAAGTTCTTGTCCTCGGTTGCCTCATTAATTTGCTTCCCATCGCCGCCATTGACTTGGGGGTTGCAACTTTTCTTCACAACGGTTCGAGCACCTTCAACGGGGGGCTGTAGCTTTTCTGCGGGGGTCAAAGCTTTCAGCCGGTCGAAGCTGTCTACAGAAGCAGGTTGAAACTTTTTCAAACTACGGTTGGAGGCTTCATATGAATGAATGTAGCTTTTTTCGGTGTATGTTGAAACTTTATATGTCGCAGGTTGAAGCTTTCGATCAAAGGGTTGTAGCTTTTTGGGTAGTCGGTTGCAGCATCAATGGAGGAGCAAAAAAATGCTTCCAAGTTTGTTTTGGGAGGACATGGTGCATCGGTGGGGGGAGGAGGTCGCGCCGCCGTGGTTGTAGCATCTCCAGTGGACTGTTCCAGTGTACGGAAATTGTGAGCAGCAGCTCGCAGACGGCATGTCCATGACAACTTCCCAAGTCCGGTTCGCCGGGGCAGAAGGAATCTGCAAGCCGGAGCAATGGAAAGAGTGTTTATGGGGAGATGGAGACTTACATGGGACTGGGGCTAGCCGGCAGCTGGATCTGAACGAGGAAGACGAGGAGCGCCTGAAAGAGGGAGGGGGGTCGAGAGGAAGAAGATGAGCGCTGAGTGAGAGAAGAGGATCGGGTGGGGTCGGGCGAGCAGGTGGGCCAGCTGTCGCACGAGGCCCACACCCTGTACTCGCCGCGTGCGACCGACTGAAACTTCGGCCGGTCTGCCGGCCACAAACATTTACCTAAATTAATTAATGAGCGCCTTCCGCTCATCTAAAAATAAAAAATAAAAAAAATGGAACGCCTATGGTCGACCCTGCTAGAGTTGCTCCTAGCTCGAGCCCATCATTAACCGTCGGGCAGGGACAGACCGAGCTCGAAACCCTCTTCCGCCGCTCTGCCTAAACCCCACCGCCGAAATGCTCCTTCGCTCGCTCCTCCGCCGCGGCGCCGCCGCGGTTTCGGCCGGCGGCGGCCGCGCTCCCGCCGCGCGCCCGGACCCGCCCGCTTCCCTAGCTTCCCTCCTCCTGGTCTCCCGCTCCTACGCGAAGGCCAAGGGTGGGGGCAAGCCGGCGGCGTCCACTAGTAACCGTGGCAAGGTCCGTGTCAAGGATCCCAAAGGCGTGGCGTCCGAGGACGCATCCGCTTCAGGGGAATCCGCCGCATCCGCTGGCGGGGCAGACGAGATCGACGCCGAGTTCGAGATGCCCACCGATCCGCTGCCCCCGACCTACGACCCGGCGGTCGACGTCGGGCCCGGCGGTCGGCCGCTCTTCGCCTTCACCGACACCTTTGCGTCCTTCTCCCACCGCGGCGCCAATGCCTACGTCGATTTCACGTACGCACCCGTCCTTTTCCCTTGTCCACTGTCGTCTCGATTGGATCCGAATGCGGTGATGCGCGTGGTTATGTTAGATGTATTCGTTTTGTTTGTCAAGTTCGGATATCGGCTCTCATTCTCGTGGCAATTTTGGTGCTACTTACACCAAATAAAATGAAGTTTAATACTAGATGCCGTTGGTTAAATTGTGATACTAAAGTTTGTACTGATAAGGAAAATATAGCAGGGGACTTTGTAAGCATATCGATGTGACTAGGTATAAGGCTGTATACCCTGCATTTTTTTTCTATTTGTGTTGCTTCATCTCTAATCTAATGGTGAAGTATGTATGTGTTCTGCTGCCATTTAGACTTTCCCTTGGTTTAGTAATGTTCAAAGGTTGATGCCATGGTCACAAGCGTAGCAGTCTCATTCAACGTGATGATTTCCCCAATTGAACTATGTTGCTGATCGTCTAAACATGTGTATTTGTTTAATGCAACAGTTCCTTGTATCAACCTCCTTTGGTTTGGAGGAATTTTGTAGGATTTTCATAGGATAGGATTTCTATAGGAAAAATTCCTTCAGAGCTCTTTGGTTTGTAGGAATGAAATCCTATTCCTATGGAGGAATTCTTCCTATCCTCCACATTTCATAGGAAAACAAACATTAGCCTAGACTCAATGGAAAAAATCCTATGGTGTGAATCAAAGGGCATCTCTTTTTCTATTCCTATGCATAGGATTTGAGATGCATGTCATCTCATTTCCTATGACTTTCCTATTCCTATGATTTTCCAATCCTATGAACCAAAGGAGGCCTAGTATTTTTAGTCTTCTTCTGCAGCATCTTTTTCCTGCAATAATTTATTATACCTGTTGCACTGTTTATTTCATCTGATGCAAGCGATTGTTTACTATCATGCCTGCAATAGAAGGTCAATTATTGGACATGTAGGATCTGAGATGCTAATTATGATTATGGTCGAGTTCTCAGGTGTTAGTTGAGAACCCTTTTTGGGATATTAAGTATTTCTTTTCTGTCCGTTGTTTCAGTTTGGATGAATGGAAAGCCATGCTACCAGAGGGATTGCCAGCAGGGATGATGAAGGAGTTTCAAGACACGAGGCGGTGCGCTGTGATGGTGAGGGAAAGCTTCCTAGACCTGCGGGATAACTTCCGGAGAATTGTTGATCCGGCCATTACAGCCAAACGCAAAGGTGCGCCTGTACTTCTGTGATGTCATGTTACAGTGGCATATGCAATACTTGTAGTTTGCCTTGTCAAGTCTTAATATTTCTTAGATGAACAACGGCAGTATTTATTGGTTTATTTGCATCCTACAGTAATATTGTCATTGATTGCGCTATCACACTATTCATTTGTGTTGCCTTAGTTATTTCATTTGTGTTCCCTTAGTGAATTGACATACCCCTAACTGCCCGTTATTCGTCGATGATATTTATGTAAGGTAATTCGAAACTAAAATATATTTTATTACGATCTTTGAGTGTCTATTTCTTTAATAGCTATAATATCAAGAAGTGAAAAAGAGCAATTGAGATCAGGTTACTTATCTGTAGAGTTCTTCTTTTTTCCAGCCATGCTGTAGATTCTTTTCTACTGACTGCACATTATCATTATCAAGACATCCAATTTGAAATAATTATGTAGGAACATGTTCCCTCTAACATTATACCCTGGATTATTAGGTTATGAACTGGCCCTAATCTTCTTCCTTTTTGTATCTGTCCTCAGAGACCAAAAGACAAATTATCTTGGATGGCCCTCGGAGTTGTGGTAAAAGCATTGCACTTGCGATGCTTGTGCACTGGGCCCGTACTGAGGGATGGCTGGTGTTCTATGTTCCCCAAGGGAAGGATTGGACTCATGGAGGATTTTTCTATAGAAATACCTACAGTGATCTTTTTGATACTCCTGTACAGGCTGGAAAGGTTTTGCAGGTGCTAATGTCTACATGATGTCTGTATTTTGCTTTTTCCTCGGTATTTACGAAATTGCTTTATTGCAATCATTATGTTCTGTTACATCTTTCTTGTTATTTCATCTGTTCAGTCTCAGCACCCAATTATTTTGCTAGCTTGAGCTGGTTCACCATTCATAATGTATTAAGCACCTAATGCAGCACAAGTCATATACCACTTTGCATTGGTCGGTGGTCAGGGCGTATTCATTAACATCTAAACATTTACTATTATCCTTTTCAACTGGCAGAGATGTAGTATGCTTTCTTTCTTATTTAAAATTTTCTAAGTGCATTTGTGAAGAAGATTCAAAATTTAAGTATACCATAAGATTGCTTCTACATTTTGTTTGTAATTTGATACTTACTTAAGTATTTGTTAATCATGCTTTACAACAACAACAACAAAGCCTTTTGTCACAAACAAGTTGTTAATGCTTCGTTTTTATTAAAATTAGTTGGATGGCATCTATTGTCAATGTTCCAGGGTGTGCAATGCTGCGCACATTGCGTCTACTTAATCTGTATG